TCTCCCGCCGCCACCGCCACGCCGCCGCCGCCACGCCACTCCTCTTCTTCTCCCGACGCCGACGACGCCTCCGCTTCTGGTTAAGAGCTTCCGACGACGCCAACGACGCAAGGTAACTCTCCCTCTCGTCTTCTTCTCCCTGATTCCCATTCCACGGTCATTTTTGGCTCTCTCTGTTTCGCAGCCGATCTCGAAACCGCCATTTTTTGGCTCTCTCTGTTTCACGTCTCTAATAACATGGGATAACCCAGATCTGAGAATTTTTTTTTTCTCATTTGGAATTGATTATATCAGTGGTTTTGACTTGATCTGTTGAAACCTTCGAACGCCATTGTTTCTGCTCTTTATGAGGAAAATTTTGAACTTTAGGCAGTGGGTTTGTAGTTTGCTCATTATTAGATACCGAAGTTGTTTGTTTGTTGATTGTCATGTTGATTGTTTGCTGATTGTCATGTTGATTTTTTGTTTATTGTCATGTTTGTTCTATAGTTTGACCCATGGAGAATACAGAAGCTGTCAATGATAATAATTGTGTGGTGGTAGAGGGAAAAGATGTATGGCCCGAACATGTTAAGAATTATATGATTGAATTGATGGTCGAGGAAGTGAAGAAGGGTAGCAAGATTACTACTACATTCACAAAATTAGGATGGTTCAATATAAAAAATGGTTTAAAGAGTAAGTTTAACAAGGACTATACCGAGGAGCAATTGAAGAACAAATTTAATCTACTTAGAAGAAGGCATAGGGATTTCAAGGGCATGATTAGTGAGACGGGAGTTAGTTTCATTGCTGCAACGGGAAAGGTGGCCGCTTCTGATGATCGTTGGGAGAAATGGTCGAAGCAGGTAATTGAACATTTCGTTCAATTTCATTAAATATATGTTTCAATTTTGAACTTTGAATTGATTAGAACGTTCATGTGTAGGCTATAAAAGGTATTACCGGCTTTAGGAAGAATGGTTGTCCAGAATACAACAACCTTTGCATCCTATTTGGTGACACTACTGCTTCCGGTACCAATGCTTTTGTTTCCACTCAAGAAGTCTCAGATAGCAGTGGTGGACAAAGCAGAGAGGACAATGAGGAAGGTTTTGTTGTTGCCGGTGATGCTACAGAGCATGCCAAGGAAGCAGAGGGCAAAGCAAAGGTCAAAGGCAAGAAGAGGAAAGCAAACAAATCCACCTATTCAACTGCAGTAGAGAAGGCAATAATTAGCATGGCGGAGGAGGCTAAAAGGAAGAATGATAGGCATGATGCCAAGACTGCTGCATCTTCTGTGAAAGGCCCAATGAATGAAGTATCTTCGCAGGACAAGGACCTAGATATTATGACAGAGTGTATGAAGGTTTTAGATGAGATGGAGGTGGATGGTAGTGTGTTTGTCAAGGCTATTGATGTTCTTCATGATAATCCACTGAAGCGTGGTCTCTTTCTGCGCATGACAGAGAAGAGAAAGAAGGAATGGCTGCAGGGTTTGGTGTGATTGTACGACGCCGACATTGAGTGTTTTTGTTTGATTGTCTGTGTTTGAATGTTTGTGGTTGTATTTTTAGTTGAACAATGTTGTTGAGTTGAATATGTGTGTGATTGTGGTTGTATGTTTTAGTTGAACGATTATCTTATTATGGTGTAAGAACAATTTCAATAAAGTTTGATTGTATGTTCTTACTGTGCAATGCAGACAAATGGCTTCTGATTCCGATACAGATTCCGATGATGATTTGCAGAACTTCTTGTTGCATTTGTGGTTGTTGGAGACAGAGAGATCCAATGTGTCAAAAGTGCCATGCAGAACCTCAGACAAAACTGGGCATGCTTGGGTTAAAGAGCTTCTTCATGGTAATCCAAAAAGGATATATGAGCAATTTCGGATGGACAAAGATACGTTTCTTGCTCTTTGTGAGGAGTTGAAACAAAATGGTGGGTTAAAAGCCACGAAGAGAGTCACAGTTGAAGAACAAGTTGGCATCTTCCTGAAGACTATAGGTCACGCTAATGATTTTAGAGACGTTGCCGAAAGGTTTCAACATTCAACGGCCACCATCTCAAAGTACTTTGACAAAGTATTGAAAGCTGTGGTCAAGCTTTCGAACAAGATTATTGTTCCCCCAAATTTGGATAACGTCCCAGACAAAATTGTTGGTTCTAGACATGATCCATATTTCAAGGTAAAGGAATACTTACTCCATAGTTACTGTTACAACATTTACAACTTCTGTTGATCATGTTCACTTTTGTGTTTACATAGGATTGCATTGGAGCTATAGACGGAGTGCATATTGATGCATGTGTTCCTACTGCTGAACAAATTCCATATCGAGGACGAAAGATGACAACAACTCAAAATGTGGTGTGTGTATGCTCCTTCGATATGCTTTTTACCTTTGTGGTGGCTGGATGGGAAGGCACGGCAAATGATGCTAGAATTCTTAGTGAAACAGTTTCAAATCCAGATAACAAGTTTCCGATGCCACCACGAGGTACTTATTATTGTTTGTACATAAATAAATCTCATTTTATTATATACTAATTGACTATCTATATACAATGTAGGTAAGTATTATGTTGTTGACTCCGGATTTGCGAACATGCCTGGGTTCCTAGCACCATATCGAACAAAGGAGCCTACTCATTTTCAAGAAATCAATCGAGGTGGTGGACCCAAAACTCGTAAGCAATTATTCAACTATTATCACTCATCCCTACACAATGTCATCGAACGTTGCTTCGGAGTTTTGAAGGCCAGGTTCCCAATTCTGAAACATATGCCTTCTTTTTCATTAAAGAAACAAGCACAAATTGTTATTGCTACATGTGCTCTGCATAACTTCATTAGGATTCACTCTTGTGAAGATATCCTATTTGAAGATTATCAAAATTATTATATGGAGGATGGCGTTAATGGAGTGCAAGGAGGGCTGGAAAGAGAAGAGTACAGTATGAGTTCAAGCCGGACACGACAAATGGAAATTCGACGTGATGGAATAGCGGACAAGTTGTGGGATGACTTTCAAGCTGGACTCCTTTGACATTTGTGATTGTACTTCGACTTATTTGATATTGAAGTATGTACTAGTATCAGGAAATTTGACAGATTCTCATTTTCAGGTCTAGTAACCAACTAAACAGGTTTTCATTTTCATATTACAGTTTCCAGTTTCACAAAAAATCCCAGGTAAACAGGTTTTCATTTTCAGATTTCAGTTGCCAAAATGGCAGCTTCCATTTCTCCAGATTTCGTTTTCAATTGCCAAAATGACAGAAAACGGAATGGGAAGTGAACAGGACCTAATATTTCCCATCTAAAAATATTTGGGCGTTCCGTCTACATCCCTATTGCTCCACCACAGCGTGTTAAGATGGGTCCTCAAAGGAGGTTGGGAATTTATGTTGGATATGAGTCCCCGTCAATCATAAAATACTTAGAAACCTTGACGGGAGATTTATTCACTCCTCGTTTTGCTGATTGTCATTTTGACGAATAAGTTTTTCCAACATTAGGGGGTGAGAACAAACAGCTGGAAAAAGATATTTGTTGGAATGAATTATCATTATCTCACCTTGATCCTCGTAATAGACAATGTGAACTAGAAGTTCAAAAGGTAATTTATTTACAAGGTTTAGCAAACCAACTGCCAGATTCTTTTACTGACAATAAGAGAGTGACAAAGTCACACATACCAGCTGTAAATGCTCCAGTGAAAGTTGATGTCCCTGTTGGACAATCTGAAATTGCAAATTAATCTAAACCACGAATGAAGCGTGGTAGACCAGTAGGTTCCAAGGATAAAAATCCTCGAAAAAGAAAAGGAGCTATGAATCAAGATGGTCAAATCGAGGATATGAAAGCTCAAGATGAGTCCCCAAGCATAACTAAGATTGTAGTTCCCGAAGAACATCAGGTACCTGAAAGTTTTGATATTGAAGAGATTTCAATCAATTATGTCTTGGATGGAAAATGTTGGAACCGAAGTGAAGTAATCGTCGACGATGTTTTTGCTTATGTTGCAGCGTTGAGTGTAATGAATGAAAATGAGGATCATGAACCAAGATCTATTGATGAATTCAAGTCAAGAGATGATTGGCCAATGTGGAAAGAGGCCAATGAGGCGGTATTAAACTCGTTTACAAAGCGAAAGGTTTTTGGACCAGTAGTCCTTATACAAGAAAACGTAAAGCCATTGGGATAGAATGGGTTTTTGTGCGGAAAAGAAACGAAAATGGTGAAGTCGTGAGATATAAAGCACATCTTGTCGCACAAGGATTCTCATAGAGACCTGGCATTGATTATGAGGAGACATACTCCCTTGTAGTGGATACAACTACATTTCGATACTTGATTGGTCTGGCAGTTCGAGAAGGACTAGATCTGCGTCTAATGAATGTTGTGACAACCTATTTGTATAGATCACTTGAGTAACATTCGCAACTTTCAGACGACCCAAATTGTCTAAAAATTGCGATAAATGTTTGAAATTAGTGTAATAAATAAAGTGGAAGTTGCAATGAGTAAAGAGTAAGCAACACAATGCTCCAACCCGAACAACCCGCAACCCGCCTGAACCATAACGTGATTAACCCATAATCCAATTGACCCGCAACGCAATGAACCCAGAACCTGACTGACCCGTAACCCGACAAACCCGCAACCCAACGAACCCGAAATTGATAAACCCAAAACCTGACTAACCCGCCACACGATTGAATCCAACCCAAACTCTCCCGATTGACACCTCTAGATAAGGGGTTCAATTTAACCGTGCGGAGGGTAAGGAAGGAATATGCATGGTCTATAGCCTTTTATGAGAACTGGGAATTATGAAAGTAATTCCGCAAAGGGCTAATACCACTACAACACCTGAACTATCCGGAAAATGTCACTTGTGTCCTATTGTTTCCAATATTCCATTCATGTCATGAACTATTATATTTTGTGCCATTTGTATCCTGCCAATTTCGTTGACTAGTAAAGATAACAGTTGACCAAACGGCGGTCAACTTAACATTGACTTTTGTTGACCTTGCAATGCCAAGTCATTGACACCTCATATTTTTAATTTAAATTAAATAAAACTTTGAAAATAAAAAATTGAAAAAACTTTAAATTCAAGAATATTACTGAATAATATTCTAAAACACCAAAATTCAAAATAAAAATAAAAAATATAATCTGAACAATAAACAACTCCCCACAAACTATAGGTGCGGACTCGAATCCTACCAATGAATCGGAGAAGGATGAGTGGTGAACGGTGGAAAGATTTTTTATTTTCAATCCCCAGCAAACAATACGTACTTCTCATCAGCCATCCTTTGCTATTCACCATCCATGTCACCTTTCTCTTTGATTTCTCCCGATTAGGGATTTGGAAGGGTCAACTTGGGATTAATTCCCAGCAATGGTCTTGGGTATTCCAGCAACTGAATACTTACCGCTATTAATCCCCAGCAACTCAATCGTCGTGACTCTTTCGTCGCGATGAGTGCTTGAAACATCGAGCTTTGAAATCCGGAAATGGAAAGAGGAAAAACCATTTCCACTTCTGGACAACTGCAAGAGGCGATCGAAGCCAAGTGGTGACAAAGAGATAGAGATGAACTTGCGGGCAGAGGAAATATAGATCTGGAGATGAATCGACGACTTGTGGAGATGAATCGACGACTTGTGGAGATGTGGCAGAGCTGGAGAGGTGAAAACTTGCCGCTTGATTTCTCCGATTTCCCTCTCTCTCTCTCTCTCTCTCTCTCTCTCTCTCTCTCAGATCCTCTCCAGCCCCATCTTCATCGTTGTCGAAAGATCCCTCCTCTACAGTGGAAGGCACACCCATCTCCCTCATCCGGCTTGACAAAATCATGAAGATCTGTGGGAACAACGTATGGGGTCCGATTTGACCATGAGGATGAGGCTTGGTCGATTTTGTTCATTGAAACAGGAGAATCGTGCAGGAGAGGAGAGACAGACATGTGGAGAGAGAAAGGGCTAGAGAAGCAGGGTCGTCGATGGGGGTTCATCGGAGATCAAAGGAAAAGGACGATTGGAGATGAGGCGACGAACGACTGATCAGATGCAATTGATTGAAGTTTTGGTGAGAAGGTGCGGATTTTTCTTCAAAAGCTGGAGAGAAAGAAAGTGAATTAATTTGAGTTATTTTTTTATTTTTGTAGTTTTCCATAATTTTTATTTTGTTTTCCTTGTTTTAATTATTTTAGATGGAAAAATAAATGAAAATTCCAAGTCAGACGCCACGTCAACGCTGACTGGATTTTCTGTTAAATACTAACGATCAACACCAGTCAACACTAACGGAATAATAGTTCATGACACATGAAATATTGTAAACAATAGGACACAAGTGACATTTTCCGGATAGTTCGGATGTTGTAGTGGTATTAGCCCTTCCGCAAATGAATTCCTTAACAAAGTCACAATCATTTGAACATTTCCCCAGAAAACCATTATGCCTTATTCATCGTGCCATTTGAAACTGAGAGATGTGGTTACACCAATCAATTCGATATGCCCCTCGAAAATAACCAGAGAGCCGAGCTACATACCAAATTCCAGCCAATAAACAACGGGATGCTAGAGTGTCTATATCCATCTACCAAAGCTGAACATTTTTATTCATCATCTGCTTATGAACCACAACTATCGGCATCTAGTCAGAGAACATCATCACACCAGCCTACAAGCAGGTTGTTCAGTTGCCAAAGGGAAAACAGGATGACACTGGTACGAGTGTTGGCAGCTGCACAAGCTTATGGACTCACGCCTCCCTTTTTCCTTGATTCTTCGCGCATTGTTGCTTTCACGTAAATCTCATAGCAGCACCCTATGGAAAAAAAGGGCAAGACACAGTTGATAAGTTGCAATGCCGCAGCAGGGGGTGGAGCAGAGCAGATAGAAATTAAATGTGTAAATTTCATTGTAGTTCATTATTAGGTTCCATAGATAACATGTCCATAGGTCATGACCCTCAGTCTGACATAATGAATGGATACTGCTCCATGGCTGAATGTATGCTTAGGTTCTTCCTGAAAACAAGATAGAGGGATGATGAAACTTAACTTGCATAGAGAATAGGCTTTGTGTTTCATTAATTGGGCGATGCAAAAAGGAGATGCATGGGACGTTCAAGATTTCACTCTCAAATGCTAAGATTCACTTGATGTATTCCAGCTGACATGCCTCCTGTTCTAGGGTCCAATTACTTAGGTCAGTAACAATCTTCACAACCAAGGTTTTCGGGCGACCCTGATCACTTTATGTATGCTAAATGGTAAGAAACATCCAAGTTTTTATCATTCAGGTAACTGGATGATAGATCTCATGCACAAGTTTGAGCACTCAGCATTGAACTAAGAACCCAAAAGCTCCTTGCCTAGTAGTCAACAAACCCCCCAACATGCTCAGAGATACCAGACGATGGCTAAAGGTTACAATAAGTTCATCATGATTCCGTATACCCAGTGCCAGCCCACCAACCGAGCCAAAAGAGCAGAGAAATAGCAGCTACATTTAACATTGGTTGCAAGCTGATTGATCTTCAACTTAAAGCACATAAACTAGAATACTTACCGACTACAACGACGACTGTGAGAAAATCTCCAATCTTGTTAATTTTTGAGACGCCTGACTTGTGTGACTTGAATCTACGAATAGCTGGGTCATCAGCCAAGAGCTGCATCATGATCAAGTCATTGAATTACTACAACACAATCTCAAAATTCGGTGAACCAGAAATGAGAAACCATTCACAAAATAACCAAGCAATGAAGGTTGCATATCACAAAATCCCCACCAACAAGACAATTGCACAATCCAATAGAATCCCAACCGACACTGGTAACACCAGAAAATGCCCAGCAAAAGGAAAACTAGAACCCTAATTGAAGAAATCCAGACAAAAAGGGGAGAAAAACTTATCGAATAAAAAGAGACGAGTAGAGGGAGATGCAGGATAGACTCACAGCTTTTTCCCGCTGCCCAAGCTCGACATGGAATCCACGGCGAGGGACTGAAAGCGCTTCCTTCGATCGATAAGATCGCCGAAAATGAGAATAATAGAGTTGGCGTGAGTGGTAACTTTGATATCAGATACGGAATCAGAAAAAGAGCAAAAGTCATAGATAGATGGGCACCTGAGAGCGCGATCGGAAATGAGATGAAAGCGATGAATTCTTCAGGAAAAACGCCATCTCCGCCTGAGATGCTTCAGATCGGTAACAGAAGGTGGGAAATCGGAAAACTGATTAGAGCCGATCCGGTTGCAACCGAGGCATAAAAGTTTTTGACCTTTGCTATTCAGACCTTGGACTGTTTCCATATTGCAATCTCATCCCTTTCTAATTTTTATCGTAATTAATTAGTGAGGCCCAGTGCGCCACGTAGACGGTTCGAAGTTAAACAGCTACCACGAGACGCAATATGCCATAAAGATGGTACGAAGGAAATCAGAGGGGAAAGAAAGGCGGAGACGACACCACGCGAAAAACAACCAACTGAAGTGAATTCATGGCCATGGCGATGAAGATGAAGACAGCAGCTACCACTGCTTGCAATTCCCTTGCCCGGAAAAGCAAATATGTGCAGAAACCGGCGAGTCTCCCGACGCCTCACATTCTCAGAGCCGCATTTCACCGCTCCTCTGTTTCCGGCGGCCTTGTCGACGGATTCCCTTCACAATCCGTATTCCAAGCTGCCGGTGAGTTTAACCAGACGCTGGTGTTGATTTTAATCATTCTATAACAGAAACTTGAACTGGGTTGAATTCTGTTTCCTTTCGATTTGCAGGACGGGGAGGCGGACTTCGTGCGGTGCATAGGGCAACGCCAACTATGGAGCCTGTAACATCTAATGAGAAGGGGAGAGGAGAGACAGATACTTCGCCTGAGAATTGGAAAATTAAGATGCTTTACGATGGAGATTGCCCACTTTGCATGCGTGAGGTCGTCCTGTTTTCTGTGTTACAACATTCGTATGATTTGCTAATTCGAGTGGTGTCAGCAATTTGATTTCGTTTTGGTGCATTTGGGGTTTTTCGTTTTGGTGTCAGCAATTTGATTTCGTTTTGGTGCATTTGGGGTTTTTTTTCTTCCAGGTGGATATGCTAAGAGAGAGGAATAAAAGTTATGGGACGATCAAGTTCGTGGACATAAGTTCGGATGATTATTCTGCTGAAGACAACCAAGGCCTTGACTACGAGACTGTAAGCAGGATGAGCATCCAAGCTTAATATTTTATATTTAGGCTTAAGCATGTGAATCATTGTGGAAAGTTGCAGCTGAAACTGGAAAGCCGTTTATTTGCCTTCATTGACGGCAATAGGGTTGCTATTTGTGTAGGCAATGGGAAGAATTCATGCGATCATGGCCGATGGAACAGTGGTTACAGATGTTGAAGTATGCCTCTGCTTCTTGACATATTAGTTTTTTCTTATCAATCGATTGAAAGATATGCCAATGAGTGGCGTCTGAGACATGCTAATGCAGCTGTGGAACGTAATCAATCACTGTTGACTAAACTTGTGCAGGCATTCAGAAGATTATATGAGCAAGTTGGTCTAGGATGGGTTTATGCAATTACCAAGTTTGAGCCTGTAAGGTTCTGAATCTGTGTGCTCTATTTTCACCTCGTTGTTAGTCTTTTGGTATGAATGTTTGAACAAAGTGTAACCTGTTTTGACAGATTGGGAAGTTGGCTGATGCTGTGTATGCCTTTTGGGCTAAATACCGACTTCAAGTTACAGGTTACTACCTACATACTGCATCCTCCTTGTAACGTTGTATGTTATTCATGTTTTCTGCCCCGCTAATGGATTTCAATCTCAAACTGACCCCAATCTCTGCTTGTTTATAGGCCGGCCTCCATTAGAACAAGTCTTAGAGGCTCGCAAGAAGAAGGTAGGCGGCGTTTCTTGTCTTCATGGAGCCAAATTTACAATGGTGAATATGCTTTATTGCTAATGTTCCACTACCATGCCTTTATGAGAAGACGTGTGCTCTATGTGGTGGTTTCAGGGTGAAGTATGCAAAACCAGTGATGCCTGTAAGCTGTGAACCCCCTCCACGGCTATCCGTGATCATCTCAAGACTCAGTTGCTCATATACAAACATCTCTACCGCTAGATACTAGTATACAGTTTTACCTTTTTCATCAAAAGAGGATGTACCTTGGATATAATAACCTTTAATATTTGTTTTACTGTTTTATAATGTAAAAAAAAAATTTGTTTACTGTATCGGCTATGATACTCGGGGTAATTCTTGCTGTCAAAATACACCTGTGTTGCTTTCAGACTTTCTATGTAAATATTGCTTACTATACTACTATCAGTGCCCTATTTATGTCCACGGGTTAATATTTTTGTATGGACTGAACTTTGATCAAAATAAACATCCTGGCCAATCTTTTCGATCTATAACATCTTGGCACGAACTATACACCAAAATAAACAATTTGGCCAGATCCGACTTTTGACCGTTAACTTGAACGGTCAAACGCGTTGACCGTTAGTCAACGCGCCAAGTCACTGTCAAGTCAGCATAAAATATTTAAAATAATTCACAATTTCTACACATTCCCTAATTTTAAATTATTATAAATTTAAAAAAATCATCTAATACCTTATTTAAACCAAAAATAAAAAACGAAAAATATTAAATATTTATCAGATTTTCTGACTTGGCAGTGACGTGGCGCGTTGACCGTTAGTCAACGCGTTAAACCGTCCAAGTTAACGATCAAACATCGGGTTTGGCCAAATTGTTTATTTTGGTGTATAGTTCGAGTCAGGATGTTATAAATCGAAAAGATTGGCCAGGATGTTTATTTTGGTCAAAGTTCAGGCCATACGAAAATATTAACCCTAAATGCACCAAGAAGATTATGCTTTATTCTAGTCCAGCAGCTTCTGCTTCATTACAAAGTCATCAATTAACCTTGTACTCAGAGCTCTGTGGATTTTTTCACTCTGCTCTGCAACAATAACTTTCAATCTTTTGGATATGGAACTGGGTACAAAGTGGCACTCCAATGCAATAACAAGTCACAGAGGATAACGAACCCTCAAGATAGTCATGCAGAAGTCAATCGGTAAGCTAGTTTTCAAAGGTCTTATCATTGTTGTATTGTTTACAAGGAAGCCTAGGCCAGAAGTAACGAGATTTGATAGCAAATATACAACTCAACACAAAACATTTAAATCCTTTGTGTCTGTCACTCTACAAACTTCACACAAAAACCTTCACTTAGGGAAGCAGTGACTTACTTGACTATTACCAGTTTTACAAAAGCAGCTAGCTACAAGCCTATTACCTAGTAACCATCTTTCTAACATCCAGTGAATCATGAATATCTCGAACACGATTCCTTCTAGCAACAAGCTTTCTGATCGAAAACCATCTCAGCACACTAGACACCTTCGCCCATCTCCTCTGAGCTTTACTACCAATAGCAACAGTGGTAGTCGAACGTGACAACAAAAATCCATCCACTGCACTCTGTAAGTCTGCTTGTGCTCCTAAGCAGAGGTTCTGGGGCTGAAGATCGGTGTCAAAGAATCGGAGATGATCATCATCATCATAATCACAGAGAGCTTGAGTTATTGAATCTGCTGCATCATGGATGAGAGGGTTTGCAACTTGGCTAGCGAAACTCAAAGTCTGCTCATATGTTAGACCCATGTTTTCAATACCCGGGAAACCATAGTCATCCGGATTACCAACACCACCAACAGAGTACATGGATGATGCTATATCAGGGGAACAGCCTGAATTTGGTTGCAAGCAATCAAACACTCCCACCTTTGGTGCATCCACATTAGAATGATCTGTTCTTGATGAGCATGAAATATAAGGGGTGGTATTAAAGTGTGAAGAGCCAGCCATAAGACAGCTCTCGTCCTCACAAGATATGACCTCATCCCAGTGCTCAAATGCAGCAATCACCGACTTTTGAGCATCAGCCTTCTCAGTTTCAGACATATTGTCGATAGAAAGATACTGGAATTCTGATAGCACTCCTCTAACTTGTCCGACAAGATTGAAGACCACAGCAGTTTTTAGTTGGCCACCAGAAGAGAAGTACAAATATACTCTGTTATCAAGCACACATGTCTGAGCATGCTCTACTGTAACTTCCCACATTTTGGCAGACATACCTGTACCAAGGATCTGCATATAAGCCAGCAAATAAGTATTTCCCTAACAAGAGAAAATGATCAAATTAAGGGTGTCGAAGAACTACATATAATAACCAAGACACAGGATTTAACCTAATTTTTGTCACATGTAACATGAGGCTATCAACTTACATGCCGCAGCTTTGGAGGGTTTATAGAAAGTTGTGTGAGGAAATCCTTCACTGTACTAATATTCTCCCGACACAAACGCTTGTGAAAAGCTCCATCTTTCCCAATCTTTTCCAGTCTCCATACCTCATCAGATAGAGCAGGAGGATGATGCTTCTTGTATACTGCAATAATAAATATTCAACAACAAAGGAAACTGTATTTTCTATCTGCTTTCTAATTTGATTACTCTCATATCTCTTCAACTCAGTAGCTGTTCCAACTATAAATCTAGCTTTAATAATTTAAAGCAGATTGTAGATTCTTGCAACAGAAATCGATTACAAAGTACTTACATTCTCCTCGGTGATCTCTGACAATGAAGGACTCCGTCTTTGCTTCTTTTATTCTAATTCCATGGAAGTTGTCCAGAGCTCTAGCTCCAATTCTGAATTTTCTGCTTCTAGTCCAACTTGAATTATCTGTAAATGAAATATCACCAACCAATGCAACCCCATCTTTAAGATTTAAAAGCACGTCTCCCGAGAGAAGAGGCTTTTTCCCTTCACGCTCTTTTACAATGTTGTTCTTGAATTCTTCTGGTGTCCAATTATTTCCCTCTTCACTATCAAAATCACCTTCAAGAACCAAAATTTCCACACTCGCATAAGCTTCAGGGCCCGAGTTAACAATATTCCCAGTTTGATTGTCAATCAAAACTACTTGTAAAGCTGGAGAATCATCCCCTTCAATACGAGCTGAAGTAAAAACTGGAAGAGAGAGATTATTTGAGAAGTGCAGCTTTAAGCATCTTGATTCAGAAGAGCCTCTCTCATTTCCATTGCTCCTGAAACAGTTTAAAAGATGATACTTGAGATTTTTATAGCCAACTCAAAACTGAGAGCTGGGGAGATGAAATTTGGAAATTTACAGCTTAATGTCATGATTCTGACAGACTCTACTCTTACCAAGCAATGCTGACCAAATGTTTTTTTAGAGCCACTTCAATTTCCTCTTTCACCTGCCAGGCAATAGCTAACATCATCAACATAAAGCCAATAACAATGAAGTTCAAGGACAGGTGGTTAAAACACAAAGAAAACTGAGATAAGGGTATACTGAAAGATTATAATGTATACATTGTGACTGATTGTCCATAATGAAGATGGCTATAAAGGTTGAAGGATTCAAATTATCCATACTACCAAGGTAGGATCCGTTATCATCGTGCAATATAAAGGATATTCTTTTTTATAAAGGATAATCAATCATCAACATATCTCTGTCCCAGATTAAAAAGGGTTACCGAGAAGGTAGCAACAATGACAACAGTATCATACCACTTTACGAATTAATGGCTCCATAACACACTCCAGTGCACGCATCTTCATTGCTTCTTGCACTACACTGTCGATCAGCAGTAGTAGCATTAGAGATTAAGTGCAGATATACCAAGTCACTAGAGCCAAGCTCCCAAAGAAATAGAGATGAAACAAATTCAAAAGACGAATGAGACGATCATTAGTCATTGAGACGACGAAAATGGATGACCAAAAGATAATTGCTTCAGCCATGGCAATTGGGCAGGCATTTTTCATCATAGGGAAACACATTTGGCATTTGCAAATCTATTGCAACAAAATGGTAGGAACCCAGCTAAGTTTTCCCATAAAAGTCCACCATAATCACAATCAAAAGTTAGACCATAACCCATATGACTTCGAATCAGAACCCAAACTCACTATGTTTTTCACAATAACCAAATTCTAGAATTCTACATTGACCATCTCATCATTCACTGAAACAAGTTATAGCCCGGTTCAATTTCAATCTAATTTCCCGTTCTGGTATCAAAGTTCAGAAACCAAAGAAATCATTGGAACCCGAAACCACAAAGTAAAACAGAGAAAAAAGAGGAAGCAAGTACCCACTTTCTGAGATTAAATCTTCTCCTCTTCTCATCAGGACTAGAATTCCCCTCAGCACGAGCCTTCCCTCCTTCTTCAGGTGGTTGTCTCTTCTGCGACATCGTTTTCACTCTTCCTCCACCCCACCCAAAACTACACCAAACCACAGCGACGAAAAAAACAGGGGCAGAGCAACAACTCGCTGACAAGAGACGGACCACCGATCAAACCAATTACCATCAAAATCAAATAGAACCCAGAAGAAGAAAGAACAGTAGAGAGTGGAAACAGAGGTTCATCATCTACATCTCTCTGCCTAATTTTTATACACCCCCGAGAACAATAAAGCTAGAGGAAGGTAAAAAAGGAGCAGGAAAACGGTAAAATACCAAACCAAGGCTAGAATCCAAATTACTCTCCTACATAGGAGAGAGAGTCAGGAGCAAGGACATTCATTCAAGTGGGTATCTTGGCATATGTATCTCTCTCTGATTTTTCATGGTGGTGGGTGTGGCCTATGTGGGAGCTTCGTTAGCCATATTCGGATTTTGGCCGTATCCAGGCACCTTCTTCGATTATCTTCCTTATCGTCGTGGGTGTTTTGGTTATCTTTCTTGTTTCGGTTGGGTAGCGGCCAAACGGCGAAGGTTTTGTGGGAAGGAAAAGGGACCGGACGGGAAGATTGCGGAGGGAGGAGAAAAGGAGGTACACACTGCTGTACGGCCGGGAGATGGAAACGGTTCTGAGTTTGGGTTAGGGAGGAGGCCGGAGGGAGAGTTCTTTGGGCCCCACAAAACGCGTTCTGGACTTTTGGAGATGAATTGATGGGCCACATTATCTTCCCCTTTCTATGACTTGGTTTCTTTTGCTTAATCTTCCAGTTTGGACTAATTAGTGAAAAATGAGTACCTCTATGAGCTGTCCTTTTTTACGGTGAAATTGAAATTTCAAATGCAGAAAGTTCTGGTGGTGATTTGGATTAAAAAAATCGATCTCTTGATTGATTTGATCGATCATGTAATATTTTTCATTATACAATGTTTAACAAACAGTACAGCTCTTATATTAAAAGTTCAACCATTTAAAAAAAAAGGTCTATTATTTTCATCAAGTGGTCTAGCACTTTCATCAAGTGGTTTACCGCTTTCAACAACTGGCCAACAACCATTGTTAGTGATTTCATCATATATAATTAGAGTCCGATAATAATATATATGTTTCCTAGTAAGAGAGTTAAAATTAGTCCAAAGGCTAGAGCATAGATGAGAAGTTTCTTGAGTTGTTCTATCGTAGATATGAAAAATGTTTTGCATATTTATTTCTTATAATTGACTAATTATACAGTGACTTTCATCTTTCCTTCAAATTCTAGTTCGTTTGCTTTTATCGTATAGTTGTCTTGCGATGGATCAACTTTGTTGC